AGGTTGAATACCCTCATACTCAATTCTTTCTCCTAACGATGTTATTAGAAGCACAGAATGTTGGGCATACTTAATCACTCCTTTGCATGCAGACAACCACCCTATTCCAAGGATAACATCAATGCCCATCAACTCCAACTATAAGGTTTGCTTTGAAGTTCTTCCCTTTTATGTTAAGACTAACTTTTGGGCATATGCGGTTTGCCTTCTTTTCTCCTTTTAGAGAGTTAACTATTAGGGATTTCCTTATTCGAAGCATAGTTATCTTATGATCTTCTGCGTATGCACTTGAGGTAAACGAATGTGATGCACTAGGGTCAAACAACACCATAGTAGTGTCTGAGCTTACTGCAATCAAATCATAAATGACCTCCTTAGCTCCTTGAGTGGTAATCAGATCCACATTATTCAACCTGCCTTGAATGTAGTTTCATTTGAACTTATTTCCTTACACTTGCTCCTTATGGAGATTCCATTCTGGCTCCTGCTGCTGTTGACTCTGGCTTTTATTACTCTTAGCAAACTTCTCAAGTCAAGCATTCTTATTGGGTTCAATCTCACCACAATCATAACCTTCCTTACTAGTAGAATTATTTGTCTTCATCAATGTGATAGTAGGAGATGACAGAAATGGCTCTTGGGAGCTAAAATGATGCACTTCATCATTGGGTTGCTGATACTGATCCTGATCTGTACTTCCAAGCAGATTCATAGGGCGTGATTAATATTCTGCTTGTGTAGCAAAACGGAGACGAGTATTTCTTGAAGGTCATGCTTTCTATTCTTTTCTTCCATCCCTCAATGCTTGTTCTCAATTAGAATTTCCCTATCCACCATTGTTTTGAAATTAGGATACACAACAACCATCAACTGCAATTGAACTCCATCATTCAGTCCTTTCAAAAGTGTTTCTGTTTCTTAGCATCATTATCCACTTCTTCGACTTAGCTACCCCCCTTAAGAAAAGATCAACTAGGGGACACAAGAAGGGTAGCTTGCACCTCCTTCTAGATGAGCTAGCTAGTATCAAGATGTTCTAACATCCCAGTGATACTCTTTGTGTATGGGCAAGAACAAGAAATCTGAAATTCCTTGCGAGCAGAAAAATAACAGCGCAGTAAAATAGCTGTAACTCTCATTCTGTTAATCCAATGAGGTTGTAGCTTACACTGTTGGAAAGATTATCGAATCCTCCACAACTTCCTTATAGAACACTTTTCCAAATTCTGTAGTTTAGGTAGTTGAAACAGTGCACAACAGAAACTGCTCCAGCTTTTAAACAGCACATGTGTAACATCTTGTGATTTTCATAACTCCATAACAAAAATAGCTATTAGGGTGATTCTTGTGGTCAGAGAAAGATATTAAAGTCTACTATTGTCCATAATTTTCTCATGATTTCTGATTATCCAAAATCAGAGATATAAGCCAAAGATTGCAGGCTGCTCTGAAAAGACAGGATAGATGAAACAGAAGAAAACCATAACCCAACTATTTATTACACTGATCCTTATACCTTTAGCCTATAAACTAAATGACATTGTGGGCAAACCGCATAAGATCCTTGCACTCATTTCAAAGATCCAAAACAAACATAAACATAATGACAACCAACTGAACAATAAAGGTTCACACTTCAAGCATTGACTCAACGGACGATACTATCGTCCTCATTGTACTAGGGGTAACAATCCTAAGACTCATCTTCAGATTACGCAAGAAGGTGGTGAGAAATAGTTCTAAGAGCATATCAAATTAAGGAGTGAAGATAAGAACAAAGACTTCAAAATAAATCAAGGTAGAGATGAATAGCAAGGGTAGAGATATAGTAGAGAAGAAAATATCAAGGTTCATAGAGGAAGGGTTTTTATAGCAACTTCTAAGAAAGTCAAATCTCACATATAACTACAAATAAAAGTAATATCAATAGACAATGCTTAATATATAATATACTTCATATAAAGGATATAACCTTAGATAGCAAACAACGGAAGGTCAACTCCGATCTTTAGGTGAAGTCTCTAATTCCACAGGGACAACTGACTGGTTGATCACAAGCCTAACTCCTGCAGACTCTAGCAATCTAATACCAATCCGGGATTTTTCCAAAGATTTAAAAAGTAAAGCAAGCATAAGTACATATCGTACTCAACAAATATAACAGGGGGTTCATGAGGCTCAAAAGGCTGACACTAGTTTAACTGCAATTAGCTTTTAATGAGTCATCTTTTAGTAATTGGATGGCAACAAGTTTATTCACAAGCCCATATAAACACATGATTAGGTAAACATGAATAATGAATAGCATAAACAGTAATTATTAGTGAGCATCTTCATCATCAGTATTATCAGTGTTCATTATCTATTCCGTAAGGGTCCAAGTTTGCTCGTGACCATGAGCACGGCTGATATATCAGTTTTACACTCTGTAGAGGTTGTACACTTTCACTGTGAGTCGTGAGTTACCCTATCGCCTGAGGTGATCAGCCTCTTGACCCACTACCAAGGAAGGTCAGTAGGGTTCACTATGAAGCCTTTCAAAGGTTCGTCTAATAAGTTAGGGCCATTAGATTCACTCGGCAAACATATGTAGGAACGCCCCTTTCCGATGGCACAATGACACGCAGCCTTTACATACGGGGACAGAGGTTGTCCTATACCCAATTTGTCAAGTTATTCTTATGCCAATAAAGGTAACCTCTAACAAGCTAGAAAAGTTCCTCATACTGAGCTAAAGCCAGAGCCATGTAGCCCTCACAGTTGTACTGTAAGCCCCGGATGTTCGCTTACAGATAAGTACTTAGGGAGAGGAATCTAGAGCAGCATAAAAACAACCTAATGCTCTAGCCCCCGTGTTTCATGTTGCTAAAAAGTATCTTTTAGTGTTTATTGCATGTACCACTAGGGGCATAATTTTAATTACTTTTGAACTACTCAGGATGGCGGGTTAATTTCATAGAAACTCGGGGTCTCTTTAGAAAAATGTCCGCAACTGTCGGATGGCGGGTTAATTTAGAGGATTATTGTGTTTATTGTTATAATGACAGAGATGAGATATTATCTAAAAAATGGAACAGATATGGTTTTAAATAATGGGGTAAGGCATTTAGCAATAGCCTCCTCCAGAAGCTATAAACATGGTATTTAGTAATAGTTGTTTTTGTGCAAAGTTGGTTAAGAATTTCTATGTTTTCTATAACGGGATAAGGTTTTAAATAATGGCTAGTGATTAGTGGTTGATGTGTGGGACTTTGGTGGTTAACACTCAAGACACGAGAAGGTTTATCCCAGTTCAGAGCTTCAAAGCCCTATGTCCAGTAGGTAATTCTTCGTATTAGAATGCTCAAAATGACTTCTTACAACAAGAGAGAGAAGGAGACCGTATGACTAGTTTTGATCTAGGGTTTCGGAATGAGGTCAACCCCCCTCTAAAAGTTCCCTTGCCCACCCTTATATCTCCGAAAGACAAGGGGCATACAAAGTTTGGGGTTTTTTTTTTCTAGTTTCCTTGGTATCCAAGGAAACGCTAAGGCTTCTTCGACTCTAGGTATGGTCGTGGACGACATTGTAGAAACTATTGGTGGTAGCTTTTGCTGATGGCGGTGGCAGGTCTTGGCAGACTAGCAGCCTGTTCGTTTCGGTTGGATTGGCTTATAAGCCATGACTGAAAGTACTACTGACTGGTTTGGTGTGAGAGGAAAACAATGTTGGCTGGCTGATAAGCCAATGCTTATAAGCCAAATGCAGGCTACCGAACAGGTTGTAGGAGCTCGTCATTCTGCCCGTCCCTTGTTCACCCACCCTCTAGTGTCCTTTGCATGCCAGGGAGGAGAGGCCTAGAGGGCTGACGCATGGGTCTGGTGCGCCACTTGTCGTGTTGCGTCATGCCCCGAGTGTGACTCCTCACCAAAATAGGCAGGCAACTCCACGCTAAGGTGGGAAGAACAACAACCTAATAGAGATAGCTACACCGTGTCCCTGTTTAGGTGTCAGGCGGACATCTACCAGCTAGGCCAACCCGCTGAGTCCCGTTCAGTCGGGCAAGACCCTCGAGCGATGAGGGCCTATGCTGTCTTGGGCTTTAGTCCCATTCTCGAGCTAACTTCGCTCGGCCAGAGGCCTTGGGTGAGGAAGGCTCAGGCCTCGTGGGCTTTGGTCGGTGTGAGGGCGCGCGAGCGTATCTGCTAGGTGTAGCCCCCGAGCCCCTGACCGATTAAGACAATAGATTAGGAGGTTAATTACACTTTTTAGTGCTAATGAAGGGGTTGACATAACCCCGATGTTAGATATTCATCAAGATGACTCATACGTTGATAGATTAAAAATTAAAAGTATTGTACATAGTAGAGATGATGTAGATAATTTTTGTAATCAATAAGAGATGACATGAATAGCTTGTATGAAAGGATAATAAGTTAGTGGGATACTTATTGGGGAATGATGTGGACACCTTGTATGAAGGGATAGAACATCTAGTGAGTACTAGCTTTATTAGATTATATAGGTATATATAGATATAGATTAAGATTTGAAGACGTATCCAAGTGGTAATGGTGGGTAATTATCTACCAATTCCATGAGGATGTTGAGAAATGTGATTTGTTGAGCACATGTTTGTATGCTCCATCAAAATGAACTAGGAGGAGGCTTTTTGCTCTGTTTGGAGATGGTTACTCTAGAAAATAAGAATAATTATCCTAGTAATTTTAGCTTTTATTTTATTTTATTTCTCCATTGCCCTCCCTTAATAATGCTCTCACTCTCACAAAACGAATGTGTTCCTTAGTGTAGTAGAAATGGAGAAGAATAAGATCATTTCGGCTACTGTGTTTTTTAATCCTTGTGCAGGGATCTAAAAGCATCCTACATTTTCAGTTGTCTTCTGTAGAGGCCTAGACCACATTTGCAATATATAACAAAGAGATACTTAACTGCCATGTGCGGCATGCCCAACTACCTCGCCGGCCGGACATAGTATGAGCAAGGAGGGTTCGCCGGAGATGGCGAAGGCAGCGCCGGTTCTGAGGTCATTTGCGTTGTTGTTCATGCACGCAGACGCGGTGGACGTGGCGCTGATGGCGCTGGGCCTGGTGGGCGCCATCGGCGACGGCATGTCGGTGCCGGTAATGCTAACCATCATGAGCCACGTCTACAACGATGCAGGCAGCGGCCCTGACCGCCTCCAGCAGTTCAGCTCCAAGATGAATCAGGTACACCGCAGATTCCATCTCTAACTTGACGAACCTGATGATCTACATATGCATCAGGTCTACGTACGTACGCAAATGTTACATGAACAAGAACACTGACGCGTCCACCGGGTCTTGTATCAGAACGTGAGGAATACCCTCTTCCTGGCTGCCGCATGCTTTGTCATGGCGTTCCTAGGTGAGAGCACACTGCATGCCAATGCCCCGGCCGGCGCCTCTCTGACACCACCGTGGATTTCTTTTTTCCTCGTTCGAGCAGAGGGGTACTGCTGGACGCGGACGGCGGAGCGGCAGGCGTCGCGGATGCGGCTGCGTTACCTCCGGGCGGTGCTCCGGCAGGACGTGGAGTACTTCGACCTCAAGACCGGCTCCACGTCGTCGGAGGTGATCACCAGCGTCTCCAATGACAGCCTCGTGGTGCAGGACGTGCTGAGCGAGAAGCTGCCCAACTTCGCAGTGAGCGTCACCACGTTCGTGGCCAGCTACGCCGTCGGGTTCGCGCTGCAGTGGCGGCTCACGCTGGTGGCGCTGCCGTCCGTGCTGCTGCTCGTCATCCCCGGCTTGCTCTACAGCCGAGTCCAGATCGGCCTGGCACGCCAGATCAGGGAGCAGTACAGGCGCCCGGGCGCCATCGCCGAGCAGGCGATCTCGTCGGTGCGCACCGTGTATTCGTTTGTCGCGGAGAGGAGCACCACGGCGCGGATGTCGGCCGCGCTGGAGGAGCTGGTACGGCTCGGGCTCAAGCAGGGGCTCGCCAAGGGCGTCGCCGTCGGCAGCAATGGCATCACCTACGCCATCTTCGCCTTCAACATTTGGTACGGCAGCCGGCTTGTCATGCACCACGGCTACAGGGGCGGCACCGTCTACATCGTCGCCGCCGTCATTGTACACGGAGGCGTGTATGTAACAGTACTACTCTCCGTTCCAAATTATAAGACGCTTTAGCTTTTTTTTAGATATATTGCTTTTATTATGTATCTAGCACTACCGGAAACAGTATAATTGCCGAGTGCATTCAATCGGGCACTCGGCAAATATCCTATTTACCGAGTGTTTTGAATTAAAAACTCGGCAAACAGGTAGCACTCGGCAAGTGCCTAATAAAAAACACTCCGCAAACTACAACAAAAACACTCGGCAAAGTATAGGCACGTGCGCTGGGCGTGCGGCGGCCATGTGACATAATGTATATCTAAATACGTAGTAAAAGTAATGAATTAAAAAACCAAAATGTCTTATAATTTGAAACGGATTGAGTAGTACTAGCTAATTAACTGCAACTGCGTCTGTGCGTGATTTACCGTAAATTCTGTTCGATAAAACACTATTAACGAACGAATTGAACCGTGCAGAGCGCTGGGGTCGGCGCTGTCGAACATCAAGTACTTCTCGGAGGCAAGCGCAACGGCGGAGAGGATAACGGAGCTGATCAGGCGAGTGCCCAAGATAGACTCAGAGAGTGGCGCCGGCGACGTCCTGGACAACGTCACCGGCGAGGTGGAGTTCAGGAACGTGGAATTCTGCTACCCGTCGCGGCCCAAGAACCCCATCTTCGTCAACTTTAGCCTGCACGTGCCAGCTGGGCGGTCGGTGGCGCTGGTGGGCGCCAGCGGGTCAGGCAAGTCGACGGTGATCGCGCTGCTTGAGCGCTTCTACGACCCGTCGGCTGGGGAGGTGACCCTGGACGGCGTGGACATCCGGCGGCTGCGGCTCAAGTGGCTGCGCGCGCAGATGGGGCTTGTCAGCCAGGAGCCGGCGCTGTTCGCGACGTCGATAAGGGAGAACATACTGTTAGGCAAGGTGGACGCCACGGAGGAGGAGATCATAGCTGCGGCGATGGCGGCAGACGCCCACAGCTTCATCTCGCAGTTGCCGCAGGGCTACGACACGCAGGTACGTAGCATCTTCTCCTTGCACTAGCACTTTCTGAAAACAGTCATATGGCTGAAAATGTAACTAGCGTAACTGTGGCTTAGTCCCGGTTTGATTTCAATATCAGATAAAAGTTAGCTGGCTAATAACTCATTATCTTATTTGATCTAGCTAGTGTGATAGTTGTTACCTAAAGGTCTAGCTAATCTATTATCTAAGAGATAATTATTAGTAGTTAACTACTATCTATACAGGATCGTGTGCACCCTCTCGTTATATCTTGCACTCAAATCAATGTCTTCCTTTTTGGTGGAGCTTCTCCGTCAGCTTCACAAATAACTTCACTGGCTCCCAACAAAACGCTAGATTAAATTTAAAATAGCTTCCATAGAGAAGCTCTGTGGTTGAAGCTGCATGCGAGAGGAGTGGGAAAAAAAGAAGCTTTGCCAGCTCCCTCTCAATGTTGTAGGCCCTGTGCATAGCGGTGACTAGATTTGCTCCAGGGCGTTGGGAGGGGCGGCTGGGCAATTGTGAGAGAGGGGCGTGGAGGCAGGAGTAGGGAGGCCCCTCGGGCTGGTGCGGGGAGGAAAGGAGGCCTGCATGAATAAGGTTAAGATAGAAGAGAAATAAGTAAGGAAAAAAGTAGAATAAAGAAGATAGAAGGTTATTATAGACATCGTTAACAACCAAAGAAGTTGTTTTTGTCAAAAAAAGAGTTGTATCAAAGAAGCTACTGTTGGAGGTATTTTTGGCTAGAGCCAAATTTCTACCAAACGAGCTCTTAACTTTTGTCTATTATTGTGTGGCAGAACCATCCGAAATAATACGTTTTCGGAGGCGCTCATCTTCCACTAGACACTAAGCACCCCGAAAATTAGCTACATCGGATGGTTCCGTCGAGCACACCCCAAGGGAGAACTCGAACAATCCACGTTTTTCACCCAGGATCCAATAATGAGAACAAGTTTACAATACTTAGTCTATTTCATACAACAAGAGTTCTCGGAAATATATTATTACAAAATCAAGTTCATAGTGTGGAATTTAAACAACGGAATTGAAATAAACATCTAACGATAAAATACAAGGATCCGCCTGTGCCCACCAGAAGAATCCTCCACACAATAGCCACTCCTCAAGCTGCACCTGCAATAGAAATAAATAAACTAACTCTGAGTACACAATGTACTCGTAAGACTTACCCGACTAGTGGGAATAATTTCTCAACTCCAAAGGATATGATAAGCTTTATGATTTGTTGGGTTTTCTTTTTGCGAAAAGCAATACTAGTAGTGAATCCTTATGTATGTATTTTATTAGCAGTCATGATTAGTTCATTAGCTAATCATTTTATGTAAGCACATGTTCTACTTTCAATCAAGAGTTGAGCAATCAGATCCATTTCACTATCTTTCATCTTCTAGTTATTACTATGGTGTTAGATCATAGACAAGTCGTACCGTATCACACGGCGATTTGCGAACCAATGTATCATAGCTGGGTACCCCGAAACACACGCCCTGCTTCTACCCCAAGCATAAGCAAGACCAACCCATCACTCTCCTATCAAGGGGTCCAGGTCCCCGTCCAAACTTGGACTCCAAGCTCCCACTCCTAAGTTCCGGACTCAGTGTAGTGCTTAGACCTCCATCATCCCCGCTTCCAATCAGTCGGTCCGGAAAGAGCCGGAACTCACGATAAGAGAGCAACGAGCCTTCCCACTCCCATATGTAAGTATGTGCTCAAGATAATAAGTCTATGACCTGACTAGAATCCACAGCAACGGACAGTCCTTAACCGACACGGACAGGAAAAATAGTGTAATCAAGCTATGCCCCGTAGGCCCTAGGACACAACCTATTACACCCACCAATACCCATACCATATCCATGTCCCGTCTCCATTTCCTTTCACCATTTTATCATGAGAGTAATAATAATAATAATCACCTATTGTGAGTAACGGTATGTTACTCACGCTATCGATAGTCCAAGCATAGCAGCTCCTTGACCTATGCTAGTATGACTCATAGGTAGGTTATCTATGCATGTAGTTTTAATATAAATCATGTAACGTAAATGCATATCACACACACACACATATATATATATAAGGATTATGACTTAGCTCACCATATCCAATGATTATTCAAAATAAGGATTATGCACCGGGGCTTGCCTTAGGCAGGCGGGGTGTCAGCTAAGTCAGTCAGTGATGCTTCCGGGACCTCCTCCTGCACAAGGACCTCCTCCTCATACTCCTCGATCACCTCCTCGTACTCCTGCTCTCCGGCGGCCACGATCTCCACCAACTCCTTCTCTATATGCATGCAATGATAATACAACACTTAGTATTTTGGCAACAACAACTCTTAAAATAATAATACACTTGCTAAGCTACTAAGTTAGCTCTAATGATTAAGATACTAAGCTAATCATTATCTCTACCAAATAGATTCCAAGCTCACCCTACAAGTGCTTAAATTTTTTTATAAACCAATATCATGCCATTATTCATTTAGCTTTAATGGGTATTTAGCTACCATATTAAATAGTCTATTTTAGGGCTACAAAAATTACAGTGAGCACATAATAATACAATGAAGCTACTATAAAAATTTTAGGGTTTTTGCTATCACTAATCTACCACAAATATTTCTACAATAATTAACTTAATAATATTGAGCACTCTCAAATGATTTAATAGCTCCTGGTATCAACAAGCACAATACACTAACAGATAGAGCACAATTTTAGGAATCTAACAAAATTTGTTTCATAATTTTTGGATATCTATATTATTTTATATTAATTACCAAAGTTTAGCTCAGAATTAAAATGAAAAGCTATTTCTATTTTCCACAAAAAAGATAAACTGATTTTGGCCCAACGCGGCCCACGTGGGGCGCGGCCCAAGCGCGGAGGCAACCCATGGCAGGGAGACCCCACGCGCGTTGGCAATCTTGCAAAAACGCCCTCGCGTTATCTAACAATAGCACGAACACTACACGTACTATTTCTATAGATAGCGACTTTGCAACGGAGCCCTCGTATCTTTTCACCTTCGCACCGGAGAGGTCCCCAAGATGCCCCGCGCTTGCCGACACGGCGGGCGGGCACTAGGCGGTACGCCAGCCACCCGAGACCCTTGCAGACCTAGTTAGGGGACCGATGTTCACCTATGGGCCGACGTGCGACGATGGGCGGTGGTTGCACGAACGGGGGTGAAACAGAGCGGGCACTCCCCGGCGGCGGCGACCTGCAGCGGCGGCAACCGTGTTCCAGTGAGCCACAGTGTACAATAGATAATAGAGGTGACGGGTAAGCATCGGTGACGCACCACGATCCTACCCGTGGCGGTGTCCTGGCCGGAGACATCCTAAGCAAGTCTAGCCGCGTGCGCGCGGCGAGCTCGATGACGAACCGCAGCGACACGGCCATGACAGTGGTGTGGAGGCGGCATTAGGCTTGCGACTAGCATGCGCATGACAAAGAGGGGTTCTAGGCGAGGCTAGTGGTGTGGTCAATTCGACGTGAGATGGCGAGGTTGGAGCTGGCCACGATGAGGCGGGCTAGGCCTTAATGGCGCGGCGGCGGGAGCAAAGCTCTAAAATTGGAGCTCGGCCTAGCCGTAATCAAGGCGGGGTGGGGGTGGTCGACAAGAGGACATAAAGGTGGAGATACGGGCACGAGGAATTGATGAGAGGTGCTCGCTCTCTAACTCGCTATGACCTCGACTTGACGGCGGTAGAAAGCAGAGGAAGAAAGAGAGAAAGAGAGAGACAGGGCGCGGCAGGTGGGCTCGGCTTGTCCTCGCCTTGGCAGGACGTGAGCGATGACATCGGAAGACCCATGCGCCGGTGCTAGCCGATAGGCGCGCGCGCCCGACCAGCGTGGCCCGTGCGGCCGTAGTGTCTTAATTGACATGGCGACGGTGGCTCGACCACGTGCTTGCGGCAGAGGCGACACACATAGGACCGGCAACAACGTAGAGATGTAGTGGACAGGCGCTGACGTGACGACGATGTGATGGCAGCGGCAGCATCATGACGTGAGGCAGCAGTGGACAGATGCGACGACAGCGTAGCGCGGCCGCGGCGGCACCAACGGTGGCAGCGCGAGGCTGGGCAGCAGGGCGCGGGGCCAGCGGCTCGCTGCGGCCGTCCTCGGTCAAGCCCAGACGGCAAGACCGGCCAAGCACAACAGTACGGGGTGCCCGTGCGGGATGCGGTCATGGGCATGGCGTGGGGTGGCCGCGTGGTGACCGTGCACACAGCGCCACCATCCCGAGACATGTGACGTGCATGAATTTTAAAGCGCTCAACACGACCAAACGGTCGCTCCAGGAGCTAAACCAGCTTCACCATGCTCAAGATGGCATATAAGACTACCAAATTGAGCTATAACACTACGCCACCCTTTAACCTAATATCTCACAATAAATTACTAAACATAGCAATGTCTAGCTGTTGGTAGACTTGAAAATTTCTAAGTTTTTGAGCTGGATTTGTTTCTAAGTTTCGTTTCTAGACTATTAGAAATACTAGCTAGTAACATTATTTTTTTACAGCAAGTATTTCATTGTCATCTACAAAGTTTGCACTTCAAACTTTATTTAAGTGTCACATACATGTTCTATAGTATTTTTGCTTAATAAAAATTGGTTTTCAACCTTAAGTGATATAACATGACTATTGAATCCTTTTTATGTATCATTTGTGTTAATCATTTTTCATGCCACAAAATTTATTTTTACACCTTCTCACATGCATTATCATAAAAACATGATGCTCATGACATAGTTTAGCAAGTTGTTTAAGCGGTAACACCGAGGGTGCTACATATTGCTAGAAATAGTCATTACTCCACTATGAACGACCTCCACCCTACATTCTACTTTATTCTTGATATGGAGTACGTAAGTGTCGATGTTTTGGACCGGCGGATCCTCAACCAACTAGTGAAAGTGTACTGCGTGCCCCTAATCCGGGATGGTGATGCAAAGAGACACAAGGTTTATAC